GAAAGAGAGAGAAGGTGCTGGGAGCATGTCGTTTCACTAAGAACCAAAAAGCCTTCTCAAATTTCTTCTCTTAGCTCTCTAGAGGTCCCAGTGAGGTTCTCAGTCCCAGTAGGTAATGCTGTTATAAACTGGAGAGCCAGGTGTCATCAGAAGGCTTCAGTCCAGAAATACAGTTTAGGAAGTGCCAATAAAGTATTGCTTTGAAATTTTAAAGATAATATACTTTTTCTTTCACAGGTTAAGCTGCCACCGATGATGGAAATCATAACGGCTGAACAACTGATGGAATATTTAGGTTCGTAATTGTTAACAATAGAAGGTTTCTCATAATCAATTATATATTATACTTACTAGTGAGTAGTATTATATGAGGACTGTGTTATTTATTTGCTAACTCTTTTTATGCAGCTTTACTTGAATTCACATTTCAAGAAAACCACTGCATGGTGTACAGTAACTTAAGCTGTTCTTTAGCAGTGTTTAAAGCTTTCCTATATTGCTTTCCTAAGTCAGCCTAGTGATGCGGGTGGTTTGGCTTAGTACACCAACACATTTTTAGACATAAACTTCTTCATGTCTCTTACAACGTTCTTTTGTTATACACCACAGAACGTAGTAAGTCAGTTGTGCCTTTTAATTATCCGCAGTAACTCCACTCCTTGGTAGTATGACCCAGTTAAAATTACAGGAAAAATGAATGTAATTGTCATAGTGAATGGGGGTGTCTCGTTTGCAGGCCGCTCCATCATCCTATTCAGTCTTGGGCAAACCTGCAGTGGCTTCCAACTGACCAGTCTGTAACTTTGATAACCCAGAATGATCCAGATGTTAGAAGTGCAGTTGCTAAAGTTCTTAAGCTATAGGTACCACAGTTCTTTCCCTTTGCAGCCTAATACATTTAAAATGTTTGAGCTTTCTGTGCTAATTTTGTTTAGTTTCTTAAGTAGGAGAGAAACTTGATATATTTTCTTTCTTTCTGCTTGCGAAGAATATACATTGTTCTTGAAAGTATTTCACTAAGTTTTTCAGTGTAAGAAAAAACAGTTAATTACATAACCTTGAATGTTTTAATTTCAGTATGTCCTTTAAGAAATCTCGCTGCCTGTGTCTAACCGCTTCTTCTAAACTGTATTGACAGTATAATACTGTCTGAACTCGCTCCGTAATCACAGTTGTCTAAATGTTCATCCTATCTGTTTTGAAGGCATGTATTAGCTTCTGGAATTTTCATATTAACTTTAATTTCAAAATCATTTTCTCTAAATTGTTTAGGTTCTTCTTCAATTAACATGATTAGCAGTTGCCAAGTATTTCTATTACAGCTTAAGTAGAAAAAAAACAGATTATGGGAAAAAAAACAGATTTTATTCTTTAATAAGATCTTACTACTTTTTTATACTCATTATTTTTATTCTACTCTGTGATTATAATTCAAACTCATGCGATCTCATTAATTTAATATAACTCTTAAATGCTTGCATTTACGATCAGAGTCATCTTCAGTCAGAAGTGTTCTAGAAATCTCGAAGCTTTGAGTGTAAAATAAACTTAATTTTATTTTCACCTTTTTAGGAGATTATATTCTTGATGCTAAGCCTAAAGAGATATCTGAAATTCAGCGTCTAAATTATGAGCAGGTAAGAAGCTGCTCCTAAAGTAGTTGCTTATATCTGACAGAACTATTTTTTTTTTTTTTTAATTTCTAATGTAAGGTTTATCGTGATATTTTAAAAATAAAAAAAACCAAACTGTTTGCAGTTATAATTTTCCCTGTTTTTCATTTCTGGCCTTAAAATAGAGTATGATATATAAATATTTCCTGTTAGTGAAGAAAATCTTAATATCTATCAAGACAGGAAATGATTTTTCCTGCAATGTGTGTAATGAAAGACTCTTTTATATTTGAAGTACTTCATCTTCTTAGTTAACAAATGTCCCTGGAGTATTGATAATTAGTTCTGTATTCTAAAATCTGAGTCAGCAAAACAGCATGTGCTTTTATTTATAGGTATGAAGAAAATTACTTTTTGCTGCTATGGACAGATCACAGATACAGTACAGAAAATCTTAAATTTTATGAAGAGTGTTTTTAAGCGTTTTTTTCTTAATATAAGTCAAATGAGATAAGCAAAGAGTAACTACTTGGTAAATGCAGACTGATATTGTTTACCTCATACCATGAGGACGCTTTGTTGTGAATTCCCCAAAATATGTAGTGTTTTTTTTTTTTTTTAAACAAATAAAAGAGGAGAGGAAAAAAAAAAAGGGAGAGAAGGAAGAGAATTGGTTTACTGAAAGTTCTGCCAGGATTTTGAACCAGCATCTTGAGAAAGGCCCACAGTGAAGTGCTTGAGGAAGATTGAGAGCAAGTGGATAACTTCCAGAAACTGTTTTTTTCCTTCCACAGAAGCTGTGTAGAACACTGGCACAGTTCAAAGATTTCATCTGAAGCTTGCATCTAGTAATCAGTAGATCTGTTTTTGTTGTTGCAGTCTTACAGCGAGGGACTTAAAAAAACAAAGGGTTTTACAGTTTACCAGATGCTTCTAAGACCGCAAAGTACCTTCTCTGTAATGTTACATAGGATCATGGGATAGATAATTCAAGTTGAAAGGGACCTCAAGAGTTCTCTAGTCCAGCTTCCTGTTCAGAGCAAGGTCAGCTGTGAGGTCAAAGTAACTCAGGGCTTTTTTCAGTCTGGTTTTGATGATTCACACTTCTGAAAAAGAATGTGTCCTAGCTGCTGTGTATCCTAATTCTGGGAGGGTCCTTAATGCCAGTGATAAATAGCAGGTTCTACCAAGAGTACTACAGACTTTGAGAATGGCTTGTTAAAAGGAGGTCCTGGCTATGAAATCGAAGATGTGAAAGAAGAAAATAATGTGAAAAATAATTATAATTACATCCTAGGACTCAAGAACTGGTAGCATACTGAGAAACTGTAACGTGGAAGTATACGAGGGCAGTTGCTCTTAAAAATCTTCTGTTCATCTGTGTTTTCCAGAACGATCCATTCTGTGATCCCTGCTAAACTTCCACTGAGGATATAAACTGAGCAAGAAAGAAATCTGTGTTTTTTGGAG